ATAGAGTTTCATACAGGGCATGTACCTGTGGAAAAATTCATTGATCTGTAATTTTAAGATGTGTACATTTCACTCTCCATAAGTTATACCTCAATAAAAACATGGGCCACAGCACATGATTAGGCTTTTATATAAGAGAGATGTGAAAGGTCAGTCAATACAGTTACATAATGGTAACAACCTCACTAATAGTCTGGGAAATGCAATTAAACAACAAGGAAGGTGTGGCTTCACAGACACTAAATGGGCAACACTTGAAAAAGGTTAGTTGTACCATGTTAAGATGAGAATATGAAGTCACTGGAATAAACCTTCTCAGATCCTCTTCTTGACATCTGAATGTTTAATACTGCACAATGAACATGTGGACTGACATAGCCACATTAGGAAATAAATTATCATCAACCAGTATATTTGAGGATAAAAATAAACTACTACACATCATTTCCAGTTGTAGATGGGAACTCTAGGGACGTGTTGATTCAAGAGTCAAGGACGGACTCCAGAGATGCACTGATGGTAAAAGCAAAGTGAATACGAGCACATGGCAGTAGATAAATATATTTTGTTAAAGTAAAACATTGTATATACTGTATATATCTATATTTATGTATACACACATATGGTATATATCTCACATAACAGATTAAAAGAGTGTGAATCCATATATTTTGACAGTCACAAATGGAATGCACTATAGAAGTTAAAATAAAGACATACAAAATTAATCTCTTTAGAGATAATCAGAATTTAAACATTTAAATTCAAAACAATTGTATAATACATCTCTTCTATAGGAAGCTCAAACCTTATAAAACTAGGAAGTATTATATTTACAAATGCAATGATTATGACATAAATTATAAGAAAATCAAAGGCATTATATACACACATTTAGGGAAAGTGGACAAGATTAAATTGGTAAATAAGTAGTTTAAAAAGTAATAATGAGATGTTGGAAGGATATTTTTTGTTGTATAATTAAAAAGGAAAGGTAACATAAGGAGTTTAATATAATCATCAAAAATGGAAGGAGAAAAATGATTTTAAAGTAATTGTATACATAGTAGGTATTTTCAAAAGGATATAAAGCTTGTGAAGCATTAAGTTATTGAGTTGTCAAAGAGAAGGTGCTCTTAGACGTCCTTGCTGTTATAATTGATATTTTAGTTAGTGGTAGTCTCTGTAGATTAGAGGTGTTTCAGGAAAGTGGCAGAAATGGAAATAACGGGAGACCAGATCCCGTAGTTTGAAGAGTGTGCATATGGATGTACAGTTGTAGACACAGTTAATAATGACTGCATTTCATGTCTGGAGAAAGGAGTAGCAGCAAATTAGGAAGGACCAATTTATTTGCTTCTTTTAAGAGGGAGTTGATTAATTTAATAAACAGAGGGGCCCAAATATATTTCAGGCTTTATGAGTAAGACAGTTTAAATCTGTATTTTGAGGTGATTTTATTTTGCCCTAATTGAGCATCAGTCAGTTAATATGGATGGCTATCGACTGAATGTTTATTTCCCCTCAAAATGCATATGTTGAAACTTGATGTGACAGCAATTGCAGGCAGGAACTTTGGGAAGTGATTAGGTCATGGGGTTGGAGCTCTCATGGATGGGATTAGTGCCCTTATCAAAAAGATAACTCCTCTGCCCCATGTGCCACTTGAGAACATAGAGAAGAGATGGCCATCCGTGACCAGGAAGATGTCCCTCACTAGACACCAAATCTGTTGGATCCTCAATCTTGGACTTACAAGGCATAGCACATCCGTACGAGATGATAAAAGGTATTGGACCTAGATAGAGGTGGTGGTTGCAAAACATGGTGCATGTACTAAATGCCAATGAATTATTCACTTTAAACTTGTTATTTTTATGCTATGTGATAAATTTTACCTCAATTAAAAATATATATACATGTTTTCTTTGCCCCAATTTATTTAGAACAGCTCACAATAGCTTCAGTAACATAATGCATGTTAAAATGCTTTGTAAGTATTAAAATACTGTGAAATATAAAGTATCTTTATATTTCTCTATTTTCTCTATAAAGTATAGTAGGGAACCATAACATTTCCATCTTCACCACTCTTAGTTTGAACTGCTTTAAATAATCCCCAAACATTCTTATTTACAGTGAATCATAATGCACATAAAAATAACTACCCAAGCATTTGTGAGAATAAATGTGCCCTGGGTGGCTTGTTTGCTAGTCACTTAAATAGCTGGTTGCCTGGTGTCTCTCAATTAGTGATGTTGGAGTAGTGGAGGAGCCTTGAATGCCTCTGGTAATTCCTGTTTATAGTGGCAAAGAACTACTCAGAAATAGCACTGTCACAGACAGGGTAATCACAAATACCTCCTGGAGTCCCGGGTGACTTAATCTTTATGAGAGAAGAAAGGAAATAAAAACAGCAGCGACATTGTGTTGAGCATGGACCACCTGGCAAGCACCAGTCCTAGCCCCGCATCTTATAGTGAATAACAACCTCATGGAGTAGCTGTCTTATTGTCTTTTTTTTCCAGATGAGGACATTGAAATATGTAGAGGTGTAGTAACATGTCTGTGCTTGCATTATTAGTGAGAACTGGCTATCTCATATTACCTCTCGCTCAGGCAAAGTTCTTCCGGAGTGGTGAATTAACTCTCCTCCTGAACCAAGGTGCCTTAACCTCGACAGGTCCCACCTAACCAGTGTGGGAAATTGGGCAGTAGGAAACCAGTGAGAGTGTCCAGCTATGGGATAATTGTGAAGATTAAATAAAATGATGCAGTAGGGTGATCAATAAATCAATAACAAATTAATTAGTGCTTAATAAATAGCCATGGTGATGGTGAAGATGGTTTTGATGCAGTTTGTGGTTGCGTAGGGGTGTGAGGATCCTTGTGACTGCAGAATTCCAGTGTACCTTTTATATGGCAAAATCCATCCAGAATTGAAAGAAGCTAATGTGGTGGGCCATTTTATCCACAGGAGGACTTAGAGCAGGTCAGTGACACTTGGAGAGAGATGAGAGTTTTAGACACACTTTCTTCATAATGCCTTCTCCCTATTTTGAATAACCTCTTCTGCTGAAACAGAAAATATGCTCCCTGTGCATTTGAGTCACTTGCATGATTAATGAACTGCTCCAGGGGAGTCAGATGTCCTCAGTCCAATCACTTCTCTCAAGGACATATAGGTCAATTGCTTCTCCTTCTCCATAAATATTGAAGTCAAACGAAGACCATTTCTTGGAATTTAACTTGAAATATCTTCAGCAAGATTAAGAATTTCACATAGAGCCTATGACTAATGACAACAATCCACTCTAAGCTCATTACACAAACCCACGCATGGAACATTTATCCTTTCTGAAAAGAACAATGGAGTGCTTCAGGAGAGGCCCCTCGGGAGCTGGGCATAAGCACGTGGAGATTTACAGTGAAATCAGGGAAGAAATGGAAAGGCTTTTGCCCTTTCACAGTTTTTGTTGACGGTTGCTCATAATATAAAATACTCCTTTAGCAAAGGCTAATTGCAAGTCCTAGTCCACAGCAGCAGTGTGATTGATTGATGTGGATTGTTATGGAAAACAATGTGCAGGGGGAGCTGGAATGCTTCCTTTGTTCTCTGATGGATTTCGCATCAGATGCATGGCAAGCCCAGAGCTGAAGACATGACGTGCAGCTTGCTCAACTGTAATTGCCATCATTTGTAACACAGCACAAACTTGCTTCATAAACAGTTTCCTGTTCTTTCTTGACAGACTGCATAAAGTATTCTTTGTGATTTTGGAAAATAGTGACATGAGTTACCCAAATCTGTTAACACCACCACAGGCCACCTGTGCTCTCTTGTGATCGCTTTGAGCTTTGCTTTTTTGTTCCTGGTTTAGTAATGGAAACCATTAAAGCAAGGAGGAAATGTATTCAGAGATGCAAGATAAACATTTTGTTCTCTTATTATAGGGATTTATTGCTTTTATTATATATTTTCCCTTCTCAATCAATGGAGTATATTATCCTTGGAGAGAGATTTGTTTTGTTTTTCCTTTTTTTGTTAATATCATGCAGCATATTTCCACCATTGACTTCAGTTTGAATTTATGTTATAAAAAAGGAAGCTGGGTTTTATTCATAGCTTCCCTATGTTTTTAATTTTGTTCAGTGCCTTTTCACATATCAGAGCATGCTGTACAAATCCACAACACAAATTGAATCAGTTCATATTTAGATTACAGAGATGTCTTTGAATGAAATTTGTAAGCAGAAAAGCACTCTGCAGATATTTGTAATGTTTATTTTCTTTAAAGAAACAGAAGAAGAACACTGTATAGAAAATATCTGGTGTTTTGCACTCAACACCGATGGCTTCACCTGTTTTCCAGATACAGAAGGATCAGCCTGTCACAGCCACTGCCCCAAGAGCCAAGGTGGGGGCCTGCCGAGCGCGGAATTTCAGCTGTTTTCTCCCCCGCATCCCTCATTACATCACCTATTCTGTTATAGGGGAAAGAAGTCTTAGTTCCTGTAACAGGCTCTCAGTTACCTTCAATAAACTCATCTTCCTGGTTATTTTACTTTTAATTTTTCTTCTCTCATGTATTTTTATAATTTTTTGTAAAAACATAAACAGCGATTCCATGTCCAGTGATATTTTTTTTTTAAAAAAAGGAGGCTCTCCATGGAGAAAACACCAAAATAAGCAGTTAATTGAAAAAAATAAGCGAACAATGAAAAGTTGTATTTATCAGTTCTCAGCTAGTTATGTATCTAATAACAAATTGAGAACTCATCGTGACTCCTAAATCTATTGATGTATCTAATTTAACCCTTGGTGTGATCTTAATGCCCTTCAGAACTCTCATGGCAGGGACTGGAAGTGCCTGGGAGGAGGTCCTCTGTTGCTGGCACTGGCTCACATCTTCCCGGGCAAGAATTCACCATGCTTCGTCAGAAATCGTGGGGAAACAACAGCCCTTTGGATTCTCTTACTTGCACATGCCTTCACTGCCATCCTTTCTTCCCCTTGGGTGGCAGAACAGAGGAGATGGAGGACACAGCCCGCTAGGGCCTGCCCTCGCCGGGCTGTCGCCAGGGTGGGGACGAGCTCATCAAGAGGAGGGCGGGGTGAAGCCTCACTTTAGAGGGGTGAAAACCGACCCAACCGCCTCTCCTCCGCGGATGGGACGCTGTAAGGCTGCGTTCCCAGCCCCTGGGCTGCAGGCGGGTTCCAGTCTGCCGCCTGGCAGAAACCTGGCCTCACAGCAGAGGTGCGCGGCGGGTGACCCGGTGAAGCTCCACCGGTGTCTGCAGCCGCTCCCCGTCGCCGGCATCGCTGCCTGAGCACGCCCTCCTGTCCGCCCGGGTGGAGGATCAGCGGGAGAGAGGCGGCGTCCCTGCGGTACACTGCGCACGCGCGGGATCCAGGCGGGGCTCGCGAGAGAACCTAATACCCGACGAGCGGAGCGACCTGCTGGCGCTGGGGAGCGGCTGCAAATAGACTGTCATTAGCAGAGAGGTTCCACCGCCAGTAAGTGTAACGCGCTTGAATCGTCCCGAAACCATCCCCCAACCCCAGTCTGTGAAAAAAAATTGTCTTCCATGAAACCAGCCCTTGGCGCCAAACAGGTTAGGGACCACTGGCGTAAGGGGCGTGGAAGAGCGGGACTCCAAACTGGCATTTCCCAAAGGAGGCAGGAGTATCTGTGGAGCGAGACAGGGATTTTGTGTCCTTTCTCCATTACAGATCACCAAAGAATCACCAAAGATAAGGTGCCTCTTTGGGGATATGCTTTGGCAAGCCTGCCCCACGTTCACAAGGCCATCTCTCATACACTGACAGTTTCCCAACATGTAGTGTTCGAGGACTCACATCAGTCCCAAGCACCCGAGGCCAAACATTAAATTACCAACATCAGAAAAAGAGTTTCTCATTTGAGCAGGAGAAACCAACTCTACTCTTGAGGGTCAAGTTCTTTCTCGCAGGTGGGCTAGAATCATTGCTAAGCCATTTTGATGTTCTGCAGCTGCAGGCCCTCACCGTGGGGAGTGTGGTTTGTGTCAGCAGCAGCCGCAGGCCGGCGTGTTCTGCTCGTCCGCGTTCCGCACGGCTGAGGCTCCCCGGCTCCAGCGGGGGCAGCACCATGTCCCAGTCTCCGCGTTGGGAAAAGGCAAGTGCCCCAGCTCCTTAGCAAAGTCCTCGTGGAATTCACTTGGGAACTATATTTTGTTGCTAGGCACAGACCAGAAAAGAAAATCAGAGTGATTTGTGGAAAGAAGCTTTAAAGAAAAGATGCAAATAAAATTCATTTGCATTTTTTGGTTGTTTCAGTCTAATCATAATTCCAGTCTTTCCAAGCTATTTATGGGAGACTGCAACTCGTCTGGAAACCTAAGCCCAATTAAGAAAAAACTCCATCAAGGGAACTCTGCTTTGTCACTTAAAATAATTTCGACAGATGCTCTTCTCTTAAGGGCTTGACATTAAAACTGACTCCCCATGAAAAATAGCAGCTCTGGCCAGGCGCAGTGGCTCACATCTGTAATGCTAGTATGTTGGGGAGCCGGGGAGGGAGGATTGCTTAAGACCAGGGATTCAAGACCAGCCAGGGCAACATAGAGAGACCCTGACTATGATAAGTAAAAACAAAAACTTAGCCAGACATGGTAGTGCACCCTGTAGTCCTAGCTACTAGGAGGCTAAGGCAGGAGGATCGCTTGAGCCCAGGAGTTTGAGGCTGCTGTGAGCTATGATCAGGCCACTGCACTCCAATCTGGGCAACAGAGCGAGTCTCTGTCTCTAAAAACAACAACAACAAAAATAGCAGTTCTGTGACAAAATTTCAAAGTGTGGGGCAGCGGCAATCGAGTCCTGAGCTTTATGCGCGCCCTTCGAGGCCCGTGTTCTTGTTCCCACTGCTGAGTCCGCTGTCGGCTCTGACGGGAACACAGCGTCGTTTCCACCTGCGTGAAACGCTGTCCTGCCAGGTGCCGCTCACTGGACGCTCTGATAACCAACAAAAGAGAAATCTCAGAGACTTAATAGAAACAATAATAATAATATCTCCTGCTCACAGGAGCCCAGTTCGGGTCCCGCATCTCTCCTGGGCAGTGACCCAAGGACCCTGCCTGACTCGTCCCTGGCTCTAGCATCCCAACTCGCCCAGGGGCGCCGTGGGGAGGGCTACGATCCCCTGGAGCACCCACGCTCACCCTCCGTGCTGTCATCTGGAAGTGACCGGGTGCTCTGCGTAAAGCCGCGGAGGGCGCTAGCATGCGCGGGCTACCGGAGGCGGCCGCGAGCGGAGGGAGCCTGGAGGGCGTTCTGCGAAGGTCAGCGTCTTCACCTGTCCCGCGACACCTTCCTCCCGCTCGCCAAACAGAGCACGTGCAGCCTGGGCGGCTTTCTATTGACGTGCGACACATTACCCCAAATCTAGCAGCTTAAAGTCGCAGCGTCTGCCGTCTCACACAGCGTCTGAGGATGAGGACGCCGGGAGGAGTTTTCTGGGGATTCCGACTCGGGTCTCCGAGGCGAATGCGGCCAGTCATCTGCCGGCACGGTCGCGGGGCGGGCTGCGCCCGGGACCCTCCTGGGCGCGGCGCGCGGGGCTGCGGGGCAGGCCGCCGCCCTCGGCTCCCGCCCTCCCTCGTGCGCGGCGACCGGACGCAGCGCTGTCCTTCTCCATGGGAGCATCTGGAGGGAAGGTGGAAGAGATTCCCGTCGTGGCTTGGCCTTGGAAGCGCCACAGCGCCACTTCCACCCGGTTCTGTTCAGGAGAGGCCCACCACTAAGTCTAGCCAAGACTCAAAGGGAAGAGAATTAAGCTCCGCCTTTTGCAGGGAGGAGTATCAAAGAATTTGTGGACTTTAATTTAAACCACCGGCGAACTCCTCCCCAGAAGGACACGTCACAAAGTCCAACCCAGTGTTTGCAATCAGCTCGAAGCCTAGGAACGTGCGGTGATACGAAGGCAACTCCATCAAGTCAAATCTGGCTGCTTGTGGTCCAGAGAACCAGATGACAAAAAGACAAGTTTGTGAAATCTCTTACCCCCCCCACATGCAATAAAATATGGGAAAGACGGGAGAGTGCGGGGATTCTGAAGCCCCCCTGGAAAACCATTTGAGGCCACCTATCTTGGGAGTAGATGATGGTCGATGATAACATGTTTCTTTTTCTTTATTAAAGATCACCCTTATCTTTTATTCTGTAGCTTTTTAGTGGTTCTTTTTCTATTATTTTCCTTGTCCACATCTGAAAAAAGCAAAAGTGTGTATTCCTAGTTTCAGGACTTCAAAATTTTCACAAGTCATTTTCTGATCACAGATAATGAACCCCAGGGTAATTATTAGGCAAAACCCCAAAAAACCAAAAAGCAAAAAAGCAAAAATCAAATTACAAAAACAAAACACAGTGGACTTTTTAAATCTCTTTGCCTCTGGTCAATTCTATGTGCTAGTCACCATAACCTTAATTTCTTCTAATTCACAGTTCTCAGTGCTGCTTTGGTTTTTTCCCCTCACCTGCGCTCCCTGCCAGCAGCTGCTTTCTCCCGACTAAGCCAGCCATCTTGAGGTGTGTATCCTGTCTCCTCTCTGAGTTACATCACGGGGCTTGTGTTTCACACAGGCTTCTCCGGAAACTCCCGCAGTCTGAGGAGCTGCGATTATTGACTTTCTCATATTTAACCACTTGGGGACCAGCGTCCACCATAGTCGACAGCCGCAGATGGACGCGCACAGCGACTTTAGCCCACAGCCGTGACATGACTTTTCTTATTTTTCAGTTATCAAAATAAAATTGTGAACATTTAAACATAATGTAATGAAAACATATGCGTATATGTTACCTATTCCGATTGACGTTACAAGTAAAGCTGCCTGTAAAGCAAAACAAGCTTTCAGTGCTTTCAAGCCTTCGTCATCACACCAGAGCAAACGGCCCGTCGTCCGTGCGCACGCCACCGTGCGGACCGTGAGTGCGGCTGCGGGCGAGGCTTCGCGCTGGTGAGCGTCAAACCCAACGTGGTTAATGAACCTGAAGTTGTATACTTTTTTAAAGAAAATTTTATTATTTTTGCTTGCAAGTTGACCATTATTTGCAGTTTGTGTGTGTGTGTGTGTTATACCTTGAGAAAGCAGCCCAAACCAACTATTACACAATCTTATTATTAGGACAGTTTCATTATCTTAGCCCAGAGTGAAGCCAGCTTAATATTTACATGATGCATGTCCCAAAATATTAGTACTACAAATGGCAGGTATTTTAATTTTTAACTTTTATTTGTTAGAGACAGGGTCTCCCTCTGTCACCAAAGCTGGAGTGCAGCAGTGAAATCATAGCTCACTGCAGCCTCAAACTCGTGGGCTCAAGTGATCCTCCCATCTCAGCCTCCTGAGTATCTGGGACTACAGGCGTGCACCATCATGCCTGTCTAATTTTTTTTTTTTAAAGTTTGTGTGGAGATACGGTCTTGCTGTGTTGCTCAGGTCGTTTTCAAAATCCTAGCCTCAAGCGATCCTCCTATCTCCCAAAGTACTGGGATTAGAGGTGTGAGCCACCAAGCCTGGCCCAAATGACACTTTTAACTTATTTAAAAAGTTTGGGCTTTAAGAAATGGACATTTGAAATTATAGTATTCACAATATAGCCTAGCCTAGGTTAACACAGCATTGATACCAGAAGTCTTGTGCTGTTTTGCTTTGTTTTGTTTTAAATTTCAGAGTATTACGGGGGTACAGACATTTTGGTTACATGAATTGGTTTTGTGTCATTTGAGTCAAAGTTATGAATGTGTCCATCACCAAGATAGTGTGTACTGTACACGTTAGGTGTGAAATTACCTGTCCCTTCTTCCAACCTCCCACCTGCTTGGTTTTCGCTGAGTTTTACTATCATATGTGCACATGAGTGTGATTGATCAGTTCCAGTATAACAGTCAGTACATGTGGTGTTTGTTTTTTCCATTCTTGTGATATTTCATTTACAAGAATGGTCTCCATTTCCATCCAGGTGGTTACAAAGGGTATTAGTTCACCTTTTTTGTTTTCTTCTGTTTTTATGGCTGAGTAGTACTCCATGGTATGCATATAACACATTTTATTAATCCACTCATGTATTGATTGGCTATTTGGTTTGTTTTTCCATCTTTGTGATTGTGAATTGTGCTGCTATAAAAATTTGAGTAAAAGTGCCTTTTTATAAAATGTCTGTTTTTTTCCCTTTGGGTAAATACCCTGTAGTGGGATTGTTGGATCAAATGCTAGGTCTACTTTTAGTTCCTTGAGATATCTCCCTACTACTTTCCATAGAGGTTGTACTAGTTTGCAGTCCCACCCACAGTATATAAGTGTTCCTTTCTCTCTGTATCCACACCAGCATCTACTATTTTGGGACTTTTTGATAAAAGCCATTAGCACTATAGCTACTTGATATCTCATTGTGGTTTTAATTTGCATTTCCCTGATGATTAGAGACATTAAGCATTTTTTCATACATTTGTTGGCCATTGGTCTATCATCTTTTGAAAAGCTTTTGTTCATGCATTTTGCCCACTTTTTAATGGGGTGGTTTTATTTTTTCTTGTGGATGTGCTCAAGTTCCTTGTAATATGCTTATTAGCCCTTTATAGAATGTATAGCATGCAAATAGTTTCTCTCATTCTGTAGTTTGTCTGTTTGCTCTGTTGTTTCTTTAGTTGTGCAGAAGCCTTTTAATTTAATCAGGTTTCATTTATTAATTTTTGTTGTTGCTGTGATTTCCTTTGATATCTTCTTCATAAATTCTTTGCCTAGCCTATTATCTAGACGATTTTTTCCAACATTTTCTTCTAGAATGCTTATGGTTTCATGTCTTAGATTTAGGTCTGTGATCCATCTTGAATTAATTTTTGTGAGCAGTGAGAAGTATGGATCCTGTTTCAATATACGTGGCTATTCAGTTTTCCCAGCACAACTTATTGAATAGGGATTCTTTTTCCCAGTATATGTTTTTGTCTGTGTTTTCAAAGAGCAGATGTCAATAAGAGGATGGTTTTATATCTAGGTCCTTTGTTCTCATCCATTGGTCTATGTCTCTCTCTCTCTTTTTTTTTTGTGCTAGTCCATGCTGTTTTGGTTACTATAGCCTGTTAGTATACTTGAAGTCTGGTAAAGTGATGCCTCCTGATTTGCTTTTATGGCTTAAGGTTGCTTTGACTATTCAGGGCCTTTTCTCTTTCCATACGAAGTGTAGAACTATTTTTCCTAGATAGGTGAAAAATGACATTGTTATTTTAATGAGGATTACATCAAATCTGTAGAACACTTTGGGTAATATAGACATTTTGTCAATGTTGATTCTGCTGCGGATCCATGAGTGTGATATGCATTTCCATCTGTTTACATTCTCTGCTATTTCTTTCCTCAGTGTTTTATAGTTCTCCGCATAGAGCTCTTTCACCTCCTTACTTAGATACACTCCTAGGTATTTAATTTCTTTGTTGCTACTGTGAAAGGTATTGAGTCATTAATCTGGTACTCAGCTTGATTGCTGTTGGCATATAGGAATGCTACTGATTTGTGTACATTGATTTTGTAACCCGAGACTTTGCTGAATTTGTTTATAAATTCCAGTAGTCTCTTGGCAGAATCTTTGGGGTTTTTTAGATATAAGATCATATCGTCAGCTGAGAGTGATAGTTTAATCTCTTCTTTCCCGATTTTATATACCCTTGATTTCCTTCTTTGGTCCTTTTAATTTAATTTCAACAATTTACATTGGCTGGGCAAGGTGGGTCATGCCTATAATCCCAACACTCTGGAAGACTTAGGTGGGATGATTGAATAAGCCTGGGAGTTTGAGGTTACAGTCAGGCTATGATTGAGCTATGATTGTACCACTCTTTATGGCCCAGGAGACAGAATGTGACCCTCTCTATAAAAACAAAAGAAAACAATTTACATTAAGAAACTATTGATTAATCCTGTCTATCATTGATTGGAAAGGAATGAGGTGGTTTAGGCAAAGAATGGGAGCTGGAACCCCAGGAACCCCCAGGCTGCCCACTGTGGCTGGTCTTCAGTGATGAGGCTGTGATGGTGGTGGCTGTGCTGATGGCTGATGTTGTGAATACCACATGGATGAATGGGGAACAGTTACTGGATATGGGAAGGGGAGGAAGAAATTGTCCAGAAAAATTGTTGTAGGAACATGGCACTTACAAATTTACCATGATGTAATTTCAAAAGAGATATAGTCTTAGAAAAAGAAAAACAGAAAAATATAAGCTTTAAGAAAGATATGACTAGAAAATATTAGTATCACTATCACAGTGATTACTAGAAAGTAGCTGGAATCCTACCTCTTAATTAGAAAAATATTTTCAGTACTTTTCAACTATATCACCAATTTATGAAATAAAATTTAAACTATGGTAATAAATATTAACTCAAATATACTTTTTTTACATGCCAATGAAAATATATTTTAGTTTTCATTTTGTCCTTCTCTATCACTACTAAAGATGAGAAAACCATATCCAGTTATGTTTATTAATAAACCAGTTAGTTTCAAAAATGCCCACAGTTTGACCAGCATGAGCATAAACAGGTATTAACAATTATATGAAATGTAATTGCTAAAAGTTTAAAAATATGTTTTTTTCTTTAGGAGTTTTATGTTTATTATTGGCATCATACTTTAGTATTATTACTATTGCTTCACTGGCATCACATATGCTTATGTTGCCAATATCTCAGGATAAAAATACATATTGTGCAATTACATTTTTTATCTGTTTTCTTTTTTATGATTTTTATTAAATTTAAAAATATTAAGGGGGTACAATATTTTTGTTACGTGGATAGCTTTTATAACGCTTTAGTTAGGACCATTAGTGTGCCCATTACCTGAATAGTGTTCATTGTACTTGCTTAGTAGGTTTTTCTCCTCTCTTTTTCCCTTTCCCCTTTTTGATTTCCAATGGTTTTTACTTCTTTCTGTGTCCATGTGTGCCCATCAATTAGTTCCAAACTATTAAAGAGTACAGGAATTTCAAATATACTTTTGAAGGATATTTAATGGCTAAACTAAATATTCATTTCATAATGATAAAAAATGTATAGCTATATATTATGATTAAAGTTTTTTAACTTTTATGATTTTACTTTTTGTGTGTGTATTATATTCTTTTTAAAACATTTCAGAGTATTATGGGGGTACAAATGCTTTTGTTACATAAATTGCCTTTGTAATGCCAAAGTCAAAGCTACAAGTGTGCCCCTCCCACAGACAGTGAGCACTCTACCTGTTAGGTGTGAGTTCACTCATCCCTTCCTCCCCTTCCCACCTGCCCAACACCCGATGAATGTTGCTCCTATATATGTGCATAAGTTTTGACTAATTAGTACCAATGTAATGGTGAGTATATGTGGGGCTTATTTTTCCATTCTTGGGATACTTCACTTAGGAGAATGGGCTCCAGCTCCATCCAGGATAATATGAGAAGTATTAGTTCCCCGTTTGTTTTTATGGCCGAGTAATACTCCATGGTACACATATACCACATTTTATTAATCCACTCATGGATTGATGGGCACTTGAGTTGATTCCACATCTTTGAAACCATGAATTGTGCTGCTATACACTTGAGTGCAGATGTCCTTTATATACAACATCTTTTTTTCCTTGGAAAGCAGATTTAAACCTAAGGCATGAAACCATGATTAAAGTTTTATTTAATGTGTCTCATAATAGCCCAACTCGAAGAGATTTTTTTTTTTAAGAGATGGGTCTTGCTCTGTTGCCCAGGCTGGAGTGCAGTGGTGTGATCATAGCTCACTGCAACCTTGAATTCCTGGGCTCAAGTGATCTTTCCACTCCAGCCTCCCTAGCTGGGAATGCAGGAGTAAGCCACTGCACTCAGTGAAATTATTTTCATATTTACACATTTCTGAAATTTACATAAAATGTAGAGTTTTGGTGTTGTGCTTGAAAAAACTATATTAAAATGGATATTAGATTTTACACAAATGGCATGGACACTAGAAGAAAATTGACATAAAGAGGATGAAGCCCTACATTGCAAAAAGTTATCCATTTTTCATTTTGTTTTTGTTTTTCTGTAACAGATTACCAAGGTGATCCAGAGTGTCATGAGGAACCTTAAACTGTGAAAGCAGAAACTGCAATTTCTCGCTGCCTGTTTCTTTCCGTTGATAATTAGATTTTCCAGAATGATCCTCAGCTCCTGGATACAAGTCAGCACTCCCTGCCTCCACTGCTGCTCTGGAGCAGAAGACTGGACATTGGCTGAGTTAATCCCCTGAGAAATCCAACAAACCTTCATAAATAAATTCTGGTCCTTCTATCATCCATCATATACAAAACATGCAAAGTAAAGTAGATTTTGTAGTCGTTGCTGAAATGGACATGGTGTGAACTCTGTCTCCGATCTATTTCCCTTAGGGAATTTCATAATATATTGGAAATTTCCATCTTAGAAGCAGTGATCTTGATGGATTTTGGCAATCTGAACCATGTATTAATTTAATGAAATTATTCAGTCAGATGGTGAGAAATATAGTTTATTAGGGTTCAGAACTGAGCTACTGTTAATTAACCTTACCTAAAGCAACTATCAAATATGAAATGGATGAATCTGAAGCCACATAAAAGTTGAAATTCAATGATATATTTGTGTACATGTGTGTATGTTCATATGCCTATAAGCAAATGTAAGAGAAAGCTTGCAGTTATGGGAAAAAAAGTGAAGGAACAAGTTAATCTTAATCCAGTGGAGGATATGATATTGAATTTTGAGCCATAAAAAGCCAAAAAACAAACAAACAAAAATACATGTGGGATATATTGTTAAAAATAGATTTACTATAAAGCTATCTGCTAACCAAACCTGTCTTTTTACTATTTTATAAGGTACTTTACCAAATTGTGCATGCAAATATGAGTTCATTTACCCAATAATACTAAAATCATGAAGCATAATTTATATCAATGTTCCTTATCCTAGAAACTTTTCCCTAAGAAAGAGGGATTCCAAGAGATCATCGTCTTCAAATTTCTATTCACAGTGAAGGAAACATAAATCAAGGGAAAATTTACCACATTTTAATACTATCCTTTTCAGGAAGATATATTTCATACTGTATAGAAATGAATTAGTTCACAGATTAGAAAATATATCTCTGCAGGAAGCAGTGAAGGGTAAGCCCGAGAAGCTTGTAATCCAAGGTACAGAGGCATCAGTACATACTGTGTCCAAATGTTGAATGGCAAAATATTTGAAAGCAGTATTTGTTTGAAGACTGACAATAAAGATAGAATCAAAAATGAAATTCTGCTGTATGAGAATAAGTCAGAAATTGTATCAAAAATTTATTATTATTATTGTAATACTAGAATTACTAAATTGTTAAAAGGTTGATTTTTAAAAGTTCCTGTTTGCAACAGGAGCAATGATTGCTCGGTGCTGTCACCATTTGCTTGCTTCTGTGATAACAAATAGGGTTTTACTTTCAACTGAAGTTCTCGAAGAGAAAGATATTTTTTGGCTAGTTCAGCCAGGATGTGTCACTGTTGCTGGTGAGGTTGCAACCAAGTTATTATGATTCTCATCTACTCTTTCTGTAATTCCACAGAGTAAAGATTTTTCTCTTCTTCAACTCCTTCCAGATTTGAAGGTTTGATTGATGAAATTGATGGAATTTCACCAAATCAATCACACAAACTGTACGGTGCCCACTTCTTGGAGATGCTTGCTGAATATTTCTAAAAGCAAATTTAAGATTGCTGACTACACACAATAGTTTTATTTCTGAAGTTGTTACTATTTCTGTTCACAATCCTTTGAGAAAAACTTGGTCTCACACTTAAGATTTAGAAATGTGACACAGAGGTATGGAACAGACATTCCAGGCAACACAATACTCTCCTACTGTGTGCCCGATTTCAGCCCCCTTCCCATCTACAGCAATTTCTGTGGGTCTTTGGAGCAGTGTCATGTAAAAATATTAATACTAAACTCCCAAGGCACCTTTGTTTGGTTACCTTTTCCCCACTTTTTAAAATTGAGATATAATTTACATCCTATATAATTCATCATCTTAAATGGTATTAATATAGTAGAGTGGTTTTGAGTATATTGAGAAAGTCACAGATCCATCACGAATATCTAATAACAGTATTTACATAACTCCCAAAAGAAACCTGGTGCCCATAGCAGCCACCGTCCATTACCCCTTTCCAGCAGTCCCCAGTATCGCTCACCTACTTTCTGTCTCCGTGGATTTGCCTACTCTGGGCATTTTGTGTAAGTGGAAGTACAGAATGTGTGCTGTGTGTGACTGCCTTCTTCTTCCACAATAGTTTCAAGGTTCACCCATTTTGTAACATGTATTACTGCTTCATTCTTTTTAGTGTGAAAAAATATTTAATTCTATAGATTATACAACATTTTGTCTATTCATCATTTAGTGGATGAACATTTGAGATGTTTCCATATTTGGGATGCTAGTACACGTATTTGTGTGAATATATGTTTTCAATTGTCTTGGATGCATACCTAGGAGTAGTTTTGTAGCTCATATGGTAACTCTGTTTTGAATTGTTCCTGGAATTGCCAAATTGTTTTTCTAAGTGGCTGCACAATTTACATTCTTACCAGCAATGTACGAAGATTTCAATTTCTCCACATCTTTAATGATTCTTCTTATTGTCTGTCTTTCTGGTTACAGTTATCCATGGAAGCCACCTTAGTAGTTGCGAAGTGGTATCTTACTGTGATTTTGATTTTGATTTTTCTAATGACTAACCCTAACCCTAATTTTGAGCATCTGTTCTTGTGCTTTTGATCATTTGTATTTCTTCTTTGTAGTAATGTCTATTCGGATTCTTTTCCCATTTCTAGCTGGGTTATTTGTCTTTTTATTGTTGAGATATAAGATTTTTACTCTAGATAAAAATTCTTTGTTAGATATATGACTTTTAAATATCTTATTTCATACTGTGGGTTACCTTTTCACTTTGTTTATAATGTTCTTTGAAGCACAAACGTTGTTTTTTTTAATTTTGATAAAGTCAAATTTTTATATATTTGTTTCTTATTTGTTCTTTTGCTATTTGTTCTTTCTTTAGTTAAGAAACCATTACCTAATTCAAAGTCACAAAGACTTATGAATATTTTTTCTTATTTTATAATATTCACTTTTATATTTAGGTTTGTGATAACATTTGAATTAGTTTTTGTATGTGCTGGGATATAGGTGTCAAATGTCATTATTTTGCATAAGAATATCCAGTTATCCCAGCCCCATTTTTGGAAAAAAGAAATATTCCCCACTGCATTGTCTTGAAACCCTTGTCTAAAATCAACTGGGCATAAATATAAGAATTTATTTTGGGGCTCTATTCCATTCATGTATATGTCTCTCTTTGTGGCACCGTACTGTCTTGATTATAGCAGCTTTATAGAAAGTTGTGAAATGGGAGATATGAATGTTGTTTAAACTTTTTTTCTCTTCTAAGATTGTTTTGGCTATTTTCTTTCCCTTGTTATTCCATGTGAATTTGAGTCAACTTTTCCATTTCTGCAAAAATGGCATTTGGCATTTTGATAGAAAGTGCATTGAATCTGTAGATGAGTTCAGGGAATATTGCCGTCTTAATGTTATCTTCTAATCCATGACCTAGTATGTCTTTCAATGTATTTGCATCTTCCTTTAGTTTTTCAATGTTTTATGGTTTTTAGCATACAAGTATTGCAATTCTTTCGTCAAATGTATTGCTATATATTTTGATGGTATTTTAAATTAATTTTGCCTTAATTTAATATTCCAATTTTTTGATGCTCATGTAAAGGAAAGCAATTGAGTTTTGTATATTGATCTTGAATTCCAAAACCTTGCCGAACTACTTTAATTTTAACATTTTTAGTGGATTCCTCAAGATTGCTTATGTACAAAATCATGCCATCTAAAAGAGAGAGATGTTTACTTCTTCCCATCTTACCTGGATGCCTTTTATCTCTTTTCCTTTATATTTTACAAAAAACTTTTTATAAGCCTTTTTTTTCCTCATGTTCATCATCTTCATTTTTCTAGGTCAGACTAGCTAAAGGTTTGTCAACTTTGTTAATCTTTTCAGAGACATACTTTTGTTCCAGTGATTTTCTCTTGTTTTCTTTCTTTTTCATTTATTGTTCTATGAGCTTTATTATTCTTTCCTTTTATTTTTCTTTTTTTGCTTGCTTTATGTTTACCCTATTCTTTTTTTCCTCTCAGTGTATCCTAAGGTGATAGATCGGGCTATGGAATTGAGTTCTCCCTTCTTTTTAATATAGATGTTTATAGCTATAAATTTCCCCTTAACCACTGATTTCACTGTAGCCCATGTTTTGGCATGTTGTGTTTTTTGTTTTAATCTCTCTAAAAATATATTAATCTCCACAGTGAGTTTTTGTAGACCCACATGTTACTTGAGTATATTGTCTAATTCTTCCAGGTTTGTGAATTTCCCAAATCTACTTCCCAAGCTAGTGATTTGTAATTATATTTTATTTTGTTTGGAAAACATTCTTTATATAATTTAATTCCTTTTAAATTTATTGACACTTGTTTTATGGTCTAATATATGGTCTGTCCTAGAGAATGTTGCATATGGCCTTGAGGAGAATTTTTTCTTACTGTTTTAGGTGCAATTACAGATGTGTCTTAGGTCTGATTGGCTGAAAGTGTTTTTCAAGTTTTCTATTTCCTTGTAGCTCATCTGCCTAATTGTTCTATTCACTTTTGAAAGTGGAGTATTGAAGTCTGCAACTGTTATTGTTATGTTGTCTATTTCTTTCTTAAATTTTGTCAGTTTTTGCTTCATGTATTTTGGAGTATTTTTGTTAGCTAAATATATGATCATAATTGTTATGGATTCTTTATGAATCTGTCCTTTTATTAATATAAAATATCCTTCTCTGTGTCTATAAAACTCTTTATCTGATAATATAGACATTCAAGCTCTCTAAGTTTTTGTGTGCATGGTATATTTTTGTAGTTCTTTAACTTTTAAACTATTTGTATTTTTTAATCAAAGTTACTTCCATAGTGGTATGCTTAGGGAGTAAACTTAACATCTATCTAGCTATATTTTATATAAGAATATAATTGACTTTGGATTTACGCCAACTTAATTTTAATGGTGTATAGAAACTTTACTCCTATACACGTCTCCTTTCCTACAATCTCCCTCATTAGTGATTTTATTGTAATAAAAATCACATTTTTGTACATCATAAGTCTTCAATAAAATTTAGTATAATTAATGCTTCATGCAATTATTTTATAAAGTAGGTAGGAGAAAAAAAAAGTCACAAACAAAAAATACATTTATCCTGTCTTTCATCGTTACCTAAGTATTTACTTCTACTTATGCTTTTTGTTTCTTCATGTGGATTTAAAATATTGTGTAGTGTCCTTTTATTTTTGTCTAAAGTACTTACTTTAGTTTTTCTTATATGGAAGTTCTGCTAGTGCCAAATTCCCTCAAT